GACAGACTATCACTGAGCACAAAGAAGCCTGTGTGTATAACACTGGGATGGTCCTGATGCAGCGAAAGCACAACCCACTGTGTGGCCAGCGGGGTCATGGACGGGGAGCCAAGATGCCTTGCTTTCTAGCTGAAAATCATCTTAATAACTATCTCCATCCCCATAAGAGACCTGCCTGGGATGATGGTATCACATGCACTAAATACATTTCCTTTCCAAACAGGTCCACCCTACCTTAGGTTAGTAAACACCAGTAATCAGCAGCCAGGCTCATTTTCCCCAGAGAAGAGGCCACATCTGCAACAGACTTTGACATTGCTCCTTGACCTTCAATCTGCTAGGCATTTCCTCACTTTCCCAGAGGCTTCGGGGGTGGCAAGTTCCTTCCCCCATCGATCTGGGGTTTCCTGAGAAGGAAGCCCCTTTCTGCCTCTAACACAATCATTCCAGAAAGACACACTTACCAATTAAGAAGAAGGGGCCCTGCAGGTCTCACCATGTCCCCCTGGCTGGCTTGGAACTTCTATGTATACCGGGCTGGCCTCAACCTCACTTTCCTGGGTGCTGGGACTAATAAAGGTATGAGCCACCACAATGGGCCATTTCAAAGCCAAACACCCTGGAGCTCTATTGATGTTTAATAAGGATCAGGAGAAACAAATAGGCCGAATAGATGTTTATTCAGGGAGAAATAACTCACAACATAGACAGATGAACATCAGCAGGTTCCTGGTCCCAAGGATTCCTCCTGATGTGCTCCTGCCCCCATGCTACAAGCAAGAGAGCTCTCTGAGCCCCCTCCGAGCCCTTAGTTCCCCCAGGTCAGGGCTGGCCCTGTCTCCACCCCCAATGGGCGTGGTCTAAGCCACAGGTGCAGACAAGGTGAGTATCTCACTACAGGGCTCCCTTCCAAAGTCAGCCCTTCTGAAGCTTCATCTTGGCCAAATTAAACCTATCAGCTAATCGCGCCCACCCATCTTTCTTGCTTCTGGGTACCGACATTGGCTTTGCCTCTAGGATCAGGGTCAAGACAGGGAGGAACCCGGATGAACCTGCGTGCTTTGCCATTCGTGCCTGTCACCCCATTACTCTTCCTAAGACCCCTGCGGGCTGAGGACTGGTACCCCACTCCACTGAGTGATTTGCATGGACTAAGGAACGATGTGGCCTTCAGACCCAGGAAGCTGCAGAGTGGACACTCTCCACACTACTGTGTCTGACCCCAAAGCCTAGATTTTGGCCTCCCTGTTTAGGAAAGGGAAGCTGCTAGCAGGCAAGAATGAGTGGGTTGACTCCACCTGGGATTCCATCTCTAGGTGTATTGGATGCACAAAAAGCCCAGGTGTGCTGGATGGGACAAAGCTCCCTTACAGCTGCTATGTATTCACTCACTAATTCGGGAACACTTATTGAAACCTCCCTGTAATAGGTATAGAGCAGTGTTGGCGCCAGAATACAAATAACCCAAGGCTGGTGTGCCCTGGGCCTTCAGATGTATTAGAGGTGGAAGCTGTGAACACATGAGCATAGAGACACAAGATACATAGCTTGCTTGAGGAAATTCAGACCTTTAGCATGGTTGGGAATGAGCCCAGCGGTGGGGAGGGTGGGTCGACAACTTTGTGTATGGCACTACAAAGAATTATTGACACAGCTGGGCAATGGTGGCACACGCCTTTAACCCCAGCACTCAGGAGGCAGAGGCAGGTGGATCTCTTCTTATGAGTTCAAGGTCAGCCTGGTTTACAGACCGAGTTCTAGGACAGTCGTGACTATTACACAAAGACACTCTGTCTCCAAAAACCAAAATAATAATAACAATAAAAAATATTGATGCAGAATCTTGTCTTGTAGCCTAGTCTGGCCTTGAAGGGGCAATCCTCCAGCCTTTGCCTCCCATGTGCTGGGATTATAGGCCTGAGCTGCCACACCCAGCTCATCACATAAACATTAAACAACAGTGATCTTTGAGCACTCCTGAGAGCTGGGCTTGGTCACAGCTGCACCTGCCCAGGTAGGGAGGAATCATCATTGTAAACTATTTATTACTTCAAATGCCAACAATCAACATTTACTGAGCACTTACTTAGTGCCAGGTATTGAGTGACTTACACACATCCTTATGTAATCCTAATAACCTCATGAGGTCACTGCCATCATCCCCAACTTACACAATAGGAAACAAAGGCTTAGGAAGATGAAGAAACTGGACTCCAGGCAGTTCAGCTGAAACAGCTGAGCTGGCTCGGGTCTGCCGGGGCCCTACTTTAGGCCAAAGCTCAAGAATTTAGGCCTTGTCCTGTGTCTGGTAGGGAAAGACAATAGGAAAGCAGGTGAATGAAGGGCCAATGAGACGGCTCCGACAGTAAAACTTTTGCTGTGCAAGCATGAGGACCTGAGTTCAATGCCTAGGTCTCCCCACCCCAAAAAATTCATAAAGTCCAGCCTGGCGGGCCTTTAATCCCAGCACTCAGGGGGCAGGAGGATCTCTGTGAGTCCAAGGCCAGCCTGGTTTACAGAGTTCCAAGCCAGCCAAGTGACACAGTGAGGCCCTGTCTCAAAACACATCCGCCACCCCTACAAATGTCAACGTCCTAAGCCTTTAGTGAGAGATAATGTCTTTGGAAATAAGGTGGGGGCTCAGTGTGGCGGAACACACCTGTGACCCCAGCACTTGGGAGGCAGAGGCAGGAGAACCTCTATGAGCTGAGGTCAGCCAGAGCTACACAATACACTCTGTCTCAATAAAGAAGTCTCTGCTTCCTTAGGCCTCAGCAGGCCAGCGGGGATGGCCAATGTCCTAGGCACCTCTCATCACCTGCCCTGTTTGCTCTTGGCCCACCAAGATGCCACTGGGTCAGTCCCTTCAACAGCATCTCCTGGCCGACACCTCTTGTCACATGAGAACTGATGAGATTAACAGAGCAGTTTGCTCTCTGTAAACAAACCCAGGCCAAAACTGTCAAATCTCAGTTGAGGAAGGGATACCTCAGTGTTTACCGGCATACTTGGCAGTGTTGGATGGGGTGTGGGGGAGTGTCATCTGAAAGCTCACCACACCAGGACATGAGAACTCTATACCAGAGAAACACAGCAGGATAAAGCTGAAGGGACAGGACTTTTCAAGGCATGGGCAACAATGAACTTAACCATCTAGCAGGGCACAATACTCCCTGGTGTTTTGTTAACTACTAAAAAGACAGACCATGTTGTCCAATGCTCCTATTTTACCGATGGGAAAAATCAAAGCTCAGAAAATGACCAACTACGATGATATCCCCAGGATGGTTTTACCTTGGGTCTCCTGGCCTGAAGAATCTGCACAAATGTATGTGTCCTACCACCACCTGAGGACCCTGACTCTGTTCTCTCAGAGGAAATATCTCCAAGAGGAGACCCCCCCACCCCCGCCCCACAGCCTTTTCAGATACAAAACATTCTGATATAGAGCGTTGCACAGCAGCCTGGACACGGTCGTCCAGCACCCATCTGCACTCCCAAAAGGGCAGGGGAGGAGCTGAGCATGACTGCAAGTTGGTGAGTATGGGGGGGGGGGTTTGAGGGGAGGCTGCTGCCTATCTATCTGCTCTGGTGCTAAAGTCCAAAGGAAAAAACAGGGAGGGGGTTAGGGGTTAGCGCGTGGAAGTAAAGGTAATGGTGAATCAATGGACAAAGTTCAAATTGGGTTTGTGCCTAGGAGCAGAGGTCACCTGTTCCAACTTGTGGCCGGGACTCTACGACTGCTTGCCAATGCCAATTTGGCACTGGCAGGAAGTGGGAACCTGGTGGCCCTGGCATTCCCAGCACGGAACTCTGGCAGAACAAGGTTTCTGGTGACCTCACTTACACCAAACCAGTTGGTACTCTCGGGCTCCGCCTTCAACCTTAAGGTTGAACGGTGTCCTTTCTCTGTTGAGGGAGAATCTTCCTGGCTCCATGGATACCGCTGCCACATGTCCCTATCAGGTAGAGAGCTAGTGCACACCAAAGGGAGAGGACCCTGCTCCCACAGTCTGTGCCCTGAGCCTGGCCTCTCTCGGTGCTCTCTAGGGATGGGAGGCTCAGCATGACAGCTCCTGTTTTGCCAGCTGCCCCTCCAGCAGCTGATCCAAACTGGGGTTGTTTGGGAGAAATACCAACCAAGCACAGGCAAAACCAACCACGGGGCTTGCTACCAGGACACCGGAGTGAGGACTGACAATACCTGGGCAAGACCACTAGCCCATGGTGGAGGCTGCCTGGCCTTATGACTGCTCCCTCCCCCAACCATCTTTCTCCTTCTCCTCCTCTTCCAAGGTCCTCCCCACCAAGCTCCCAGATACCAGCTAGCAAGCGCTTACTCCTCACATTCCAGAGGACCATAAATCCTCCAGGGTGGCAGAGCCACCACCTCCAAGACGTCTCGGCGCCTCCTCCCTGTACCCCACCCCCACCCCTCGCTCGGAGACGCTGGGACTTCCTCTCTTTCTTAGAAGTCACTTTAGACTTGAGAAGGATGAAGTCCAATCGGTGTGAGTTAATGATGGACAAACTATCACGCCAATTTCAGCTACCATCCACAAGGACTGACGGGGCGGGGGGGGGGATGGGGGGGAGAGAGAGAGAGAGAGAGAGAGAGAGAGAGAGAGAGGAGAGAAGAGGGAGACAGTGTTTTTTAGCTTAGCACCCACCAGGCAGGGATAGCCCAGGAAAGTACTCCAGGAGTCCGGGATGGGGCACAGCATCCAATGGGAGCCGAGAAGGGGACTGAATTCCTTTGCGTCGCCTCCCTAAAGTTCAAGGGAACCGAAAGTGCAGGCGGCAAAGGCGCTCTGCTCCCCAGCGACCCGGGACAAGACGATGGGGTCGCGGGTCGCAGCCCGAAGCTTGCCTCAGGAACTGCGATGGCTTTGGGTCAGAGGGCGGAAGCCGTTTCCTCCTCGCTGCTCGAGTTTCAGAAAGTGCTGGACGTCCGGGGCGCCCGAGTGTCTCCGGAATCCCAGTCCCATACCCGCACTTACCCGTCCCAGGTGGCTCTTTTGGGCCTCATTCTGGTCCGTAGCCTGCGCGTCAGCGGCGGCCGGAGGCTCGGCTTGTTCGGACTTGGGGGCGCGCAGCAGCTCCTCCCGGATCGGGACGCCCAGCTTCTTGAGTTGCTCGTCTGTCGCGGGGTCGACCACCAGCAGGCGCACGGCGTTGAGCGCAGCGCGGATGCGGCTCACCACCTGCTGATGCGTCTCCTTCTCCACATTCTCGCCGTTCACCTCCACCAGTCGGTCCCCGGCCAGCAGCCCCGACTTCTCGGCCGGAGATCCGGGCTCCACCAGCCGGATAAACTGGCCCACCTTGCCCTTCTCCCCGTGCAGGTGGAAGCCGTAGCCGTTCGGACCCTTCTCCAGGCAGCAGAGCCGGGGCAGGGGTTCCCCGGCCGCCCCGTCCGCGCTCATCTTGCCCTAAGAACACTCAGCGCGGTTCCTGTCGGAGGCCGGGGACGCAAGGCCTTTCTCCCCGCGCCGCGGAGCTCAAGTTGGGAGCTGAGCACCGCACGGGGCACCGTGAGCAGGTGTCCCAGGAACCGCGGCAGCGAACGCACAGGAAGGGAGCGGGCCAATCCCCGCCCTGCGCGGCGTCTGAGCGTTCCAGAGCCCGCCCCGGCTCCTAAAGCCAGGGGCGGGGCTGTGCCATGGGTGTGGATCACCTTGGACCAATCAGAAGCCAAAAAACCGGGCTCTTGGGCCGAGTGAACAAATCTGACCAATCAGAATTGTAGAGGTGTGGCTTGCACTCGGCGCGGCTCCCCGCAGCGGGAGAAGAAAAGAGAGCCCAGGAAGTGGAAGTGTTTGTTACCAAGTGCGGAGTTGGGCCGGTGGGGCGGGGCCGGGGCCGCCTGGGACTGGGTTCCAGGTACTGAGCTCTGGGGCCTCGTGGGTTGCGCTCTGGTTTCCACGTCTCGGAGTAAAGGATCCTCAACACTTTAACCTTCGTCAGCCAAAGCCTGTTGCACAGCTTGGCTCGAGGGGGTGGGCGGAGGGGGGGGGAGCGACAGTTGCCTAGGGAACCATCCCACACCCCCCACACTCACTCCTCCCCCCTCCTCGGGGTCAGTTTAAGAACCGGACGGATGTCTTCTGTAACACAGTAACACTGTAACAGAGTAACTGTAACAGAATAACACTGGAGCGGGGTTGTTTCAGTAACAAAGTTTCTACTTGTGGAGTCATTGCGCTATCCCAGGACTTGGGATAGAGAGGTTTGGTCTCTGATCCCTTCTAGGAACGTGTAGGGCGGGGCGGAAAGGTCAAGGCTCTGTGCAGCCCACCTGGAAGACCGGCTGCCTGAGGGTAATCAGTAAATAATAAATAAAACGCTTGGTTTTGGTAGCAGCCTTTGACTAGGGAGAGGGGGCGGGGAGAGACAGCTAGGTAGTCAAATCTCAGGATTCACTCTGGAGGGAATGGAGGCCTGGCTTTTTTCAACAGAAAAAGAAAAATGACTTGGATTGTGAGATAAGCTTTCCAGCTCCCTCTGGCTCGCAAAGATGCTGGTCTGGGGGAGGGCAGTCAGTTAAGGGTGAGGTGAGCCTAGAAGACACCAAAGAATGAGGAAGAATGAGGCTGGAATGATTCCAGCATTGGATAACAGTTTCCCACAAAATGCCAAGTAACAAACTTCCCAACATGATCCCTCTTCTTCTGGATACAAAGAGAAAAACCGCCAGGGTATACTTTTCAAAATACTGCAATTTAATTCTGAACAACACAAATGCCAGAGACCCAGAGCTATGGGACTCGAGTTCCTGCAACCTGCTCAGAGTCCCAGAAGAGGACAGGCAAGCCCAGGCCTCTCCTTGATCTGCCTGTGCGAGGTCACAGAGAGCTCCCTTATCAACCCAAGTCTAGAGTGCTGACTCTGCTCAGAGAGCAAGATTTCTGCCTTGAAAGCAAATGCAGTAACCTCATAAATGAGCAATGCATACTTTCTTGGAGCTCCAGTCTGCCCAGCCTACAGAGCAGCAGTAAAGCTGCCTGTAGGTCATGGATCTACACACTCCCAGAGTTCTTCTAAGGGTGAGGTCAGGGCTTTGGGACTTCCTTGCTGCCTGCCCTTCTCCATACCTAAAGCTTGACCAAACTACCTTGTTTTGTGCATATTATTACATCAGCTCTCCCAGAAATGGACAACTTCCCACTCTTTTACCCGATTTAGTGGAAGAGGAGGAGATAAAACCGTGTTGGCCCTAGTATTGGTCTGAAGTTAAAGAAAAAAAAAAAAAACAGGGAAGAGACAGAGAGCTGGGGCTTAATGGGAAGAATTGGACCATGGGGTTGTTCAGTTCTGCCTCCCACCCATTCTAGGAGCCAGTGAGTTCTTTATGTAATAGCTGTGTTGCTGTACACCTTGTCACAGATTGGGAAGGAAAGTGAAAGGGTTTTTTTTTTATTTGTTTGTTTGTTTTTTGCTTTTCTTGGCTCTGACTTCTGGGGTCTAGGAACCCTGTAGAAGGCTGATGAGAGAGATTCCATGTGAGGTCCAGAGAGTTGAAAGTAATGTTTTCAGGTGCCCCACTGTGCTTGTATGGTGGAGAAAAAGGGGCTCACTTCCAGAAGGAGGGTGAGGAAGGCCAGAGTTAGCTGAGCAGACCCCACCCAAGTAACTGCTAGTCGTCTTATTTCCCCTCCCCCCATCTCCACATTTACCTCTCCGGAGGCATTGGGCTAGCTTCCATCACTACGGCCAATCCTATTGGGAAAGACTGTCCCTTGGGAAGCTGGAGGAGAAGGCTGGGGTCTCCGTAGCCTCCCTAGTGAGGGTTGTCACAAACAGCTCCCACACCCTATCCGTGCTTGTGTGTCCCCTGGTGCCATGCCGGTGCAGCAACACCCTTGCTAGGAGGGAGGCCCAGCCTTTTAGAAGCTAGTCCCAGAAGCAAAAGGACCAAGTCCCTACCTATTTGGGGGAGGGGGTGGCACACTGGTATCCTTTTTTGGTTTTAGTTTGTATATACTAAGATAAAGTACGATTGTTTTAGCCTTCCCATGACACAGGGAAGCTAGAGGAACTGGGTCGGCAGCTACCTCTCTGGCCAGGGCTGCCCACTGAAGCCCAGCTCTCTCCTAGTTGGCTTGGCAGTTAGAATAACTGCATTCCCAAGGGTCTCTGCACCTCCTCTTAGCCCCTTGGGAGTCACACAAAGGAGCAGCAGCTGGGGCGTTTCTTCTGGGACTCCACATAGTCTCGGATCTGGAAGCTGGGCTCATCAGGCTGCCTGCCTGCACGGTATTTCAGTTCCCTAGAACCGGAAGAATCATGTGCTGAGCTGGGAACATAGAGCCAGAAATTCCCTACTCCCCCGCCCCCCCCCCCCAGGCTTCCCAGATTGCCTCCCACCCCCAACTCAGCCTTCCCTTCCCTGCTCAGTTCTCACTTGGCAATCGCCAGAAAGGCCAGCTCCACATTCATGCCAGTCTTGGCACTGGTCTCCATGAAGGGAACACCATACTCCTGCCCGAGAGAGAGTATTCTCATGGCCTGTTTCTGGTCTTTCCCACCATTCACCCAACCCCACTGGCAGTCACTTACCCTGGCCAGCATCTCTCCATCCTCGGAACGGATCACCCTTTCACTGCTTACATCAGCCTGCAAGCCCATGTGGGTCAATCAGCTCCAGGGAAGGAACCCTTGACCCCAGGAAGCCCATCTTTTGCCCCAGGAGCAAGCACTGCCTGCCCTCTTCTGGTTGCCTACGGCACTGCAGGCAGGTAGCTTGGCCTGGGGCCAGGGTTTCTGTGTTGCTCAGGCTGTGTGCCCAATGCCCAACCTGTGCACTTGGGGAGGCGTGTAACTCTAGCAAAGGGTGTGGTGACCCAGCTTCATCAGGTGACAGCAGCTGACTTAAACACTTTGTACCTAACCCCTGACCCCTGACCTGGTCACAATGATCTAGTGATGGCTGGCAGATGAGTCACCTGGCAGCTCTCTGGCAGCAGTTTAGATTATGGGCCGAAGGGGCTACTACTCCTAAAGCTTTGGGGTGGGATAAACAGAAGTCACAAGACATGTCTGACTCCCACACTGGAGACCTCAGAGTCCCTCGCTGGAAGGGTTTAGGTGGCTATGGGGCTAGGTGGGGCTGGCGTTGAGGCAGTGGGAGAGAAAGGGCCACAGTGCAGGAACTCTAGCACAGAACCACTCACCTTGTTACCTAGCAGCATGATCACCACATCTCTCTGGGCATACTCATGAATCTCTGTGAGCCAGGCCTGTGGGAGAGGGGAAGCTGAGCCAGGCTGGGGCCAAGGACCAGGGTATTCTTCTCCTAGAGGGCTCTGTTGGGGTGCTACAATCACAAATGGGCTCAGTAATCAAAAGCAATGGGAACGGCCATGTTTGGCAACACAGGCTTATAGACCCTGCATAGGGGCAGGAGGGCAGAGGTGGAGGCAAGCCTGAGCTGCGTTTCTGGACCCTGCCTCAAAACAAATCAACCCAACAACAACAATAAATGGGAACTGGAGGTGGAGGTAGAGGTAGAGATGGCTAAGCTTGGCTGGGGATGTTATATAATAGTGAAATGCTTTTCTATACAACACAACGCTCTGGGTTTCATTTTTCTGTATTGCCTTTCTGATGGGGGAAAAAAAAGCACTGAGATCGATTAGTGATGTCTGCCACGAGTATAGGCTTGGAAGTGGCAACAGCATGCAGTCTCGTCCTTTTATAGCTATCCATCTTATCCCCTCAGCGTGCTTTTCAGTAATCAGTCCTTAAGGTCTAGGAGCACATGAAACCTATATGATGTTGTGTCCAGAGTCATGCTTGTATTTATTGGTTATGGCCTCTGTTCTCTAATGGTTTGGTTGTGAGGACATAGCCACTCACTCTGTCTTCTTGAGTTGCAACTTGGCCTGGATGCATGTAGAGCTTTCTGCTTGGGCTTTCCCCTGGGTCCCTGTGGCTAATTGTCCAGGGTGGAGCCAGGACTGTTCTGAACACTTTGATATAAAACACACGCATGAATCACAGTCTGGACTGTACCGTCAGCACAGCGCACACCAGCCTGCTGGTTCTCAAGCTTACACGGCAATGAAATGCCACGTCGTTTTCAAAGACGACAGGGTCTGCGCTCTACCTGTTTTTACACAACTGGAGCAATCTGGCCTGCTCATGACAGGCAGGGTTGTTGGGGCAAGGGGAAGACCTTGGGTAGAGAGGACCTACCCTGATGTTGTCAAAGGAAGATTTGTTGGTGATGTCATACAGCAGGAGCAAGGCTGGAGGGGGACAGATAGAGCAGATCAGGGCATCAGTAGGGGTGCTGCAGAATGGGGACAGGGTAGAGGACAAGGACTTACCTTGAGCATCTCGGTAATAAGCATGGGTCACACTTCGGAAACGCTCCTGCCCTGCAGTGTCCCAGATCTAGGAAGAGAGAGAGAGAGAGAGAGAGAGAGAGAGAGAGAGAGAGAGAGAGAGCAGGGCTAGCTGCTGACTGGAGGGTCCATGCTGTGGCATAAGAGCTATCTGTGAGATGGGGGGCTGTTTCCTACTGTGGGTTCTCACAGGGCTCCCTAGCATCTGATAACATCTTCAGTGGTGTTTCTGGGGTCTTAAACCCATTAACTACTGTTTCCTCTTTTCCAGCCCAGGGGTTGGGGTGCTTAGAGCAATAGAGACTTGGAACACTGGAGGGGGGGAGGGGCAATCAGGGAGGCTAGGCCTAGCTGAGGGCATTTTGAGTTGCCTTTGATGGGAGAGAGGGTGCCTGGGAACTGCTTTTGCTGCAGATATCAAACAAAGAAAAACAGTTTCCTCTCCTAGGCCCCACAGGAAGTTACCCCAGACCGAGGGCAGGGCTGTAGGCCTGTGGTTCAGGTTGAGAAGCAAGTGCAGGCCCCTCCCCCATCCCGGCAACTGCTCTTACCTGAAGCTTCACCCTGGTGCCATCCACTGTCACCACCTTGTTCTGAAAGAGAGAAGGGCAGAGGGAGGGGAGGGGATGTTGGCTGGTCCCGGAGGTCTCTCTACATCCTGCACTGGTCTCTCTCCAGGCCTACAGGCAGTGTGGTGGGCCTGAGATGTCTCCAGTCAGATCACCCTAGCAGAGCAGTGGGAACCTGTTTCAAGATTCCTCCATTCATTGTTCTCATAACTTAGTCAGGCAAGAGGACCCTTCAAACCTGCCTAGTTCTCTGTGAGCCACCTTGTGGTTGCTGGGAGTTCAACTCAAGACCTCTGGAAGGGCAGCCTAGCGCTCTTCACACTCTTCACGGCTGAGCCATCTCTCCAGGCATGCCTAGTTCTCTGTTGAACTCAGCAGGCAGCATGGGGAGTGTGTGTGGGTGGACCTGACCCTTCCCCACTTTAGCCTCTGTCTCTCAGAGTTCAACTTCAGGGATGAGGCACCCATTACATCCTGAGGCCTTCAGAGGCTTATCCTGCAAGAGCATCTTCCCTCCCGTTACCCATAATTCTCTCAGTGTAGCCTCAGCACTTAGTCCACTGGGACAGGTACAAAGCTGCTGCAGGCCAGCCTGCTAGGCTCGGATATTTTCCCTCCAGGATCGTTTGCTTTGCAGTCCCAGTAGCCCTGCTCACACATGGATAAAGACAGAGATCTTAGAGACCTTGGGGAGGGGAGGGGGCAGCCCTGAGGACTCCATCTCTGAACCCAGCCTTTCAGATTCTTGGTAATTGCTTCTTGAAGACTGACCTGGAGAGAGGCCCAGCTCAGACGGCCATGAGCAAGGGGCTCTCAGGACTTAGACCACGACATGAGACAAACTTGCTTGGGGATGCTATCCTAGAGCTGAGAAGAAGGTGGGCAAGATGCCAACCCTGCCCAGACTCCTTTGACCTGGTTGCCTCTGTGGTCCTGGTGGGAATACCTCTGAGGCCTCGAAGGCAGTAAGCCCCAGGTGCCCTCAGGCCTCAAAGACAAGGACAGGGTACCCTTCTTGAGCCTAAGCTGTAACCAGCTCACTGCAGGAGGAGCCTGCAGCCACCTCACCCTGAAGTCTATGCCGACGGTGGCTATGAAGGTTCCGGAAAGGAAGGCCCCGTCTTTGAATTGGATCAGGAAACAGGTTTTGCCGACGCCTGAGTCTCCCAGAAGCATCACCTAGGAGATGGGGGCAGAGGCAGTTAATGGTGACCAGGGAAGAGAAGGGGTTGTCTGGGGTTCCAGCGAGGACTGTCCTCAAGAGGGTCAGAGAAGGACAGAAGGGTGGAGGACACCAGTAGGGACAGAGGGACACGCGTCTCCAGTGAGCCAGACTTGGCCATTGCTTTCTCCGTTCGCCTTTTCTCGGCCTCCCAGGTTCTCCCTCCGAGCCTCGTGTACTAGCCACTGTCCTCAAAGCCAAGCCGAGACCTCCAAAAATGTGCTTGGAGATCCCCAGAGAATGTCACGCTCTGTTGGGCTATACCGTGGACATATATTTGCCCATTGCTGAACAGTGCGGAGATCATTGCTCATCTGAGTGTGCACTCAGGTGCACACAGGTAGATGGGGCTCCCACACCGGCAAAAGGACCCCTCCACCAGGAGCCTAGCAAGACGGGATGGATGGGTGGGGCCATGGTGGTGCATGCCCTCATCCTAGCATTTGAGAGGCAGAAGTGGGCAGATAGTTGTAGGTCAGTGAATGTGAGGGCTAGGCAAGGATAACTAGCAAGACCCTACCACCCCCCCAAAAAAACCCCAACAAAAAACAAAAAACCCAAAAACAAAAAAACGCAAAACAACAACAACAAAACAAAACAAAACACAAAACAAAAAAAAAACAAACAAACAAAAAAAAAAAAAACCCCACCAAACTTGACGGGTGGAACATTGTCTTTAACTACAATGTCTTTAAATTACTATTGCTGGAGTTTCCTTTTGGGTCAGTCATTAATTTAGACGTGTCTAATGAGGACTTACGTTCACAATAGGCTTGCAAGCGTTAGAGAAGGTTGACATTTATTCTGAGATGGGGAGACAGTTAGTCTGAAGTTTTTAGCAGAAACCTTCCAAGAGGGACAAATGGTTGCAAACTGGCATCTTTGAGCCACTGCAGGGGTGAGGGTGGGGGGGGGGATGACACATGTAGGAATGGTGGGGGATGGATCTCTTTGGCCAGTCCTCTCAGAGAATGGTGGTGTAGACTCAACACCAGAATGTTCCCAACCGTCTGGCTAGACCGATAGTAAGGGTAGGATTGTTGGGCTCTCTGAACTTGATGGTGGAACCAAAAAGCTTTTCTCCCACAGATATGGGGTCTTGGGATCTATTAGTTGACTTTGGTGGAGAGATGTGGGGGGTGGGCCTGAGTGGAAGGGACCTAAGGCTGAGTTCTACTATAAAAAGCTTCCTGTGTGCTTTGGGGGGAAATTCCTTAATCTTTTTCTGCAGTTTACCCATCATAATGGGTGGGAAGTGGGAGACACATTCCTTTGAGGCCTTCCTAGAGTTTGTTAACATCTAGGGTCAACAAAGTTGATGTGATCCACTCAAGGGCGGGTATTGCCTGTCTGAAACCTTAGACATCCTAAGGTGTTCCAAAGAACTTTCCCACCATGCCCTTTCACACAAATGCAGACTTGGGACTAGGTCAAGCCCCGGCAGATTGGGGGTTAGCTACTTTGCTGGCCAGGCAGTCCAATGGCTCTGGGGCCCCAGCCCCGGGAGGTGTATGTGTGTGTGTGTGTGGGGGGGTGGACACTGGTACTTGTTTATTTTACAGATCACAGCTGTCTTGAGCAAACCAAGCAGCCAGTCACCCAGCCAGTCAAGTCCACCAAACACAAACAGCTGCTCAGCCTTACCACCTCCTAGGTAAACAGCTCAGCTGGCCCACAGGGCAAGGAGGTCAGGAGATCCCACTCATCAGCCTGGGGGCTGGCCGCCAGCCGCTCCCCATCCCCTGAAGACATAGGGCCCCATTTCCTGCCACAAGCCCACACAGGACGTCTATCTCAACGGCTCTGGGTGGGTAGGCTGGCAGTCTGGCTTCCCCTGAAACCCTGGGGGCGGAGACCCGAGGCTCCTAGTGAGAGTGAGACCTGGTGTTGGGGAGATACCAAGACCCTGAAAGAGGCCTGTGTCCTTCAAGAGCAGGGTTCAGTCCCACCGGGTACAGCCCTCACTTAGCTCTCCCTGACCTACTGCAGAGGAAGAGTGGAGGCTGCTGGCTGGCTCAGCATCTCTTTTTAGGGTTCCCTGTGCTTGCCTATTCCAAGGACACAGGCGAGGGAGATGGAGGCAGACTAGGGTCCTTGCTTCCCTCACCTGCTTTTGGACAGAGCATGCGTGTAGAAGTGCAGAAGGTATGCCCATCAGAGAGTTGCCTTTCCAGCCATCGGAGGAGGGAAGGTGGCCCACTGCCACTAACTGCTGTGTCTTTCCTAGCTTTCTAGAAATTCCCAAGTGGACTTGTGGGCTGGCTATACACACCTTAGGGGGTGGGGGAGGACGCTAGTTCACCATTGGGAAGAGGCTGTGAGACTGTATGGAGGCAGTGGGAAGGAAAGAGGTGGAATTTGCTGCTGAGTGGGGACCCAAAGCATTGAAAGTGGGTGACAGGTGTCACTCTTTGAGGCTTAGCTAAAAAAGGGCAGTAACCTTGAGATGCCTCCGCAGGGCAGGGTCTGTGTCTTCAGGGAGTCCCCATCTCCTAGCACCTCCAAAGTGTGGCAGAAGAGAGAACGGGTTGTTGTCCACAGGGTGGGGGGGGGTCTAAGTCCTTTTGATCTGCCTTGCTCCCACGCCCTCTGTCTGAGGTTAGCCTAGATTCCCTAGAGACTGAGATGCGCCCAAGGGTTATGCTCCAGACCCCAGACCCAGCTGACCCAGGAACGACTGAGTCCAATCTAGACACTTCCAGAGAGGAGAGTAGACGGGGAAGGACAGGGTTCTATGGCAAAGGACACCAGGAGGGATGTCCCTCAGAGCCGACCTGGGGGTCCCCAGCATTGGGCGCAGCGCCCACCCACCTTGCCCGTGAGATCGTAGTTCGGACTGCAGGGTGGGGAGCGCTCGGGGGCCTCGCCATCCCCGGTAGTAGCAGCTCCGGGCGTGCCAGTCATGTCCCCGGACAGTCAGAGGTGAGCCGGGCTCGCTGCAGGCAAGGGAGAGCGCGGAACCGCCCTGCCCTAGGCTCCGCCCACTCTCCCTCCCCATCCACCAACCGGCTCGGACCCTGATAGGCTCCTCCCTCCGTCCCGCCATCCCCTCGACGACGCCTGCCAGGATGCCTAGGACTTGCAGAATGTGAGCCCGAGGGACTGGTAGGCCTCCTGAGAGACATTAGCCTAGTGTAGTGCTCTTACAGCGCCGAATGAGTCCAGGTACAGGACCAGTCCCCTAAAGACACAGCGGCGGCGTTAGATTGCCATCGAGGCAGCTGACCCAGTTGGCTGCGGAAGGTGTGGCGCCTGGTTTCCTATTGCGGCTGGGCCAGCAGGGGGCGGCCGAGCTCCAGCCAGCTGCCGGCTGTACCTACCTGCAGGCAGGAGACTGGGAATAGCCCTGAGCAGTGTTTGACAGGGAGCTAGCTGCGTTCTGAGGCTAGTAACTAAATAGTTCCGTTTTTGCTGATGGACCCCAGCTCGAGCTCATTTGAGTCGACTTATGTTCACCGACACTCACCTTGGAGGGCACTGGCTTTGCCGTCTGGGGAGCTCGTGGGTGGTGCTAACACTTTGAGCACTTTGTGGTGTATGATCTCTCATTTCTCGCTGACTTGTTGGTCTAATCCCCTAATGCTACACCACGTGAACGCTCTCAAAGGTGGGCCTTTGCAGCCCCTGATGGCAGAGGACGTAGAGAATCTGGTATTGCCCATACCAGGGCTTAGTGGCTTGAGGTCAACCACCCATTTCCCAGTGTTGTATAGAACAAATTGGATGGTGGACCCCTAAACTTTTCAGGTGAGGGCAGTGAGGGGAAAGGCCAAGGCTTGTTTTGGGGTGACTATAGACTTGGGCACAGGCTATGCAGGAACTATTTCATGAAAGCTGATAGAAGAACCCAGAGCATGGATGGAGGTGATCTTGTCCAGGTGAGAATTGGAGATGGGAACTGGCTGCCCCTTGCTCACCTTCCCCTGGAAACTAATGTTATATGTTCCATTGTAAACTAATGTTATGTGTTCCATTGTGTCCACCAAGAGATACGCTGAAGCCCTGGGCACTGGTACCCCGGAATGTGACCTTCCTTGGTAACAGGGACATCAGAGATGTAAGCTACAATTAGGTCATCCTGGAATAGGGGCCCCATGCTGGTTAATGCAGATCAAGTTGGCAGATCCCCTCCCCCCCAGTCACCCGAGAGACCTGTCTTTGGGCATGCCTGAGAGGGATTATCTCAGACCAACCTAGGTGGGAAGACCCAGCCAGGAGGTGGGCCGTCTAAAAGAGAGCAAAGGAGCAGAGCAGGGACCTCTGTCTGACCTCTGCCGCCTGTCTGCGGCTGTGACTTTGCCAGCTGCCTCCTCAAGCCCCTGCTGCTGGACTTCCCTGCCATGATGGACTCTCACTCCCAGACTCCCTTTCTTGGTAAATTAGGCTAATGTGCTTTATCTGAGCAACAGGAGAGGTAACGGAGACAAGCCCCTGAACCAATGCGTGATGAACAAAGCAAGCAGGGAGAAGACGGTCTTGTGAAGACAGAAACACAAAGCGTACCCGGGACAGACAAAAGTAGAGAGAATTCTGACATGAGCCTGCTGACACCATGGTTTGGGACTTTGGTTTGTGTTGTTGGCTCCATATTATTTTGAGAGGAGGTCGAAGCTTCAGGGGTTGGGGCTTAGCCGGAGGAAGTAGGTCACAGTTGCACTCTTTTTAGTAGGGTAGGTTTGGCTCGGAGCAGACCTCACATCTCCAGAGATGGCAGAGCTAAAAGCATTCTTTTTTATTTTATTTTTTTTTTTTAAGATTTATTTATTTATTTATTATGTATGCAACATTCTGCCTTCATGTATTCTTGCACGCCAGAAGAGGGCACCAAATCTCATTATAAGATGGTTGTGAGTCACCATGCACTTGCTGGGAATTGAACTCAGGACCTCTGGAAGAGCAGCCGGTGCACTTAATCTGCGAGGCATCTCTCCAGCCCCTATAAAAGCATTCTTACAGAGCACTTGGGAGAGTGGGGTTCTTTTTCTGGGCTACGATTGTTGGGACCTGTGGGTTATGGTCCCCGGGTCTGCAGCATGAGGGCATCAAAATATGAATACGTCATGCATTGCCCCCTGGGATACTTTACATCCTGTGGTGTAGTCAAGGGTAGTCCTGAGTAAGTCAGAACCAAGAGGGGTGTAAGGACTTTCAGAGTGGGGCTGTGTAGAAGAGGGGCTCACTGAAGGGCAGGGGCTCATTAAATGTGGCCTTCAGGAGAGGGAATAATCTAGAACACAACACCAGGTTTTCTTACCTCTGCTCTGATACTGTGTGCATGCTCTGGTAACCTGTGTCTTCCCCACAGTAGTGGTTCACACCTCATGTCACACCACAATCATGCTCTGACACTGACACTTCCCCACAGACACCCCTCATATGCACATCTCCCATCATCCCTTAACACACAAGCTCCATATCACAGACACACACTGCATATCACATACCATATAACACCGTAATGTACATCTCCTGTCATAGCACAAGCATACAAAGTCTTACTCGAGTCCCGGACACATACCTCACTTCACTCCGGACACATGCATGTCTGCCACCACATGGAAACCACAGACATAATTTGCATTACACTAAAAACACAGGACACATCAATGCTCACATGCCCTCAAATTGACCACATATTTCATTTGGTGGTTTGAAAGGAAATGGACCCCAAAGGGAGTTCTGGGGACATGATTTGGGGGAGTGGCCTTGTTGGAGTAGGGGTGATCTTACTGGAGAAAGTGTGTCACTGTAGAGGTGGGCTTTGAGGTCTCCTATATGCCTAAGCCATGCTCAGTCAGACAGTTCATTTCCTGTTGCCTTTGGATCAAGGTGTAGAATTCTCTAGCACCATGTCTGCCTGCACGCTGCCATGCTCCCCACCATAATGATAATGGACTGAACCTCTGAAACGGTAAGCCACCATCTTAACAAAATGTTTTCTTCTCTAAGAGTTGCTGTGGTCATGACATCTCTTCACAGCAGTAGAAACTCTAAGACTTTACATCCCTACGGGATGCCCAAATCACCCTCAAAAACACTGTAAATTATCCAACCTCTCCCACACTCCCCAGATGTGAAATGCACATACCACATTACCGTCTAATCAGAAGCCCCTGCTCCATTGTGTCAGATCACACACCCACACAGTTATCCTGATAGAGGATAGGCCAGCGACTCAGATACTGCTCCTCCATTTGTAGGAACACTGGGGTTCCTCCCAGACATGCGGATGGGTTGAAGAGAATCCCAGAGCTGACACCCACTGCAGGGTCCAGATGTGGAGGGAAGACTAGGTTTGCTTGAGCAAAAAGGTCAACACTCAGGTTTACAAACTGGTGCGTAGATCTCCTGCAGCATAGCTCTCAGTTCATGTCAAATTGCAAACTCTGCTCCTCTATCCTGATCTAAAGCCATGGCCTCTGCAGGTTTTTACACACACCAAACAAGTCTTGAGACTTGCCTCCATTGTGTGTGACCTTGACCAGAAGATGAAGGGTTTAGGCTTTAACAGGAAATAGTGAGATGATGTGAGATGGACAGAGGAAGGTTTTGGAGATAAATTTTGGAACATTGTTTAGGTAAAGCTGGAGAGTCTGAGGACAAGCTGTAACAAGTTGAGACAAGCTGTAAGAAGGAAGATCTGACCTTCAGTGGGAGAGGGGAAAGTTGACTGGAAAGTTTAATGTTTTATTGTTTGAATACAAAATGTCCCTGTCTAAGCTTCTTTTTATAAAATTCCTGGTCCCCAGCCAGTGGTATTATTTTAGGAGATGGTAGAATTTTTAAGAGTTGAGTCCTAGCTGGAGAAATTAGGTCTCAGGTCTATACTTTGAATTTGTCCTTGATCTCTCTCCTTGGCTCCTGTCTGCTATCAGGTGAGCAACTCTGGTGTTGTGTCTTGTTATGAGCCCAGCATCAACAGAGCCAAGGACCACAAAGAGGAGCTCTGAAAATGTGAGCCAAAATAAACCTTTCCTCAAGTCCTTTATGGCAGCCCTTTACAACTAAAGTGATAAGAACTCTAGTGTATAAAGCTGGCTCTTTGGAACCTATTCCTGATGGGGGATGTCCTTCTGTATATATATGTTTCTCTTATTGGTTGATGATGTTTGGCCAATGAGACAGGAAGACAGGCGTGACTAGGAGACAAGGAGAATTCTAGGAAAGGTAGGCAGAGGGAGCCTGACACAGAGTCATCATGCTGCTGAAGGACATGCAGGGGCATTACCGAGTAAGCCACAGCCTCACTTCAATCTATCAATACATTGATAGAAGTGGGCTAACAATTAAGACAGAGCTAGCCAATAAGAAACCCTAGTCATTGGCCAACAGTTTTATAACTAGTATAGCAACTGTGTGCTTATTTGGGGCTGAGAAGGGCGATGGAGTCTGGCAGGACAGGAAACTGCCCACAACACATTCCCTTGGGTGGGATGCCTTGGTCAGCCTTGATGCGGGTGGGAGGAGCTTGGTTCTGCCTCAGCTTGATGTGCCTTGCTTTGTTGATTCCCATGGGAGGCCTGACCCCATCTGATGGAGATGTTAGAAGAGTGGATGATAAGGTAGGGGGGAGGCGGGGGGAGGTGGGGGGGAGGGAGTGGGAGGAGAGGAAGGAGGGAAAACTGTGAATATGTAATATATTTATTTTTAAATTAGGCTAGGCTTTTGTATGCTAAAAACCAAGGAAAAAAGAACCAGACATCACACAAAACGTATAAAGCAGAATTCGTATTTCCAAATAAAGTAACTAGATTAAGCAGTTTAAAAAATCGGTACCAGGTGTGGGGGTGCTGCTGTGATTACCCTGTGAGGGTCTTTGCCTTTGGAACTGTTTGCAGGAGGAATTTGGAAGAGTTGGAAACATGTGAGCTAGCAAACGCCCTACAGTGCTACAGTCTGACCTCAATAGCTGATTGTGACGCGAGTCTGAAAGGCCGAAATGATGACACGAATGTGGGCAGTAAAGATGGCGTGAGGGGGCGGATTAGACTATAAGCCATTCATCTTACAATCTTGCTAAGGACTTTTAAACATTTTACCTGGGTTTTCAGACTTGGTAGAGGGCTAAGTTCAAAAGTAGGGCACTAGGTAACCCAGTGCAGGAAGTTTTAAGGCAGGTTAACATTCGGGTTGTGGCATTGT